TTCATTTAGAACTGTACATGTCTGGTTTTCAAATACATTGTTATCAGCACTCCGTTTCAGATGGGTGTAATAGCTATGTATTCTTTTGGCATTTGGGAGCTCCCGTTTCAGAACACCACGACATACGACTGTCATGTTGATATCTCTCCCGTCTATTAACTCACGAGAGAGGTCAACATAACCTGCATGTTCCAATGCAGCACATAGTCCAAAGAAAGGTACGTACTCACTGACGGTTTTCAGAAACGAGTAAAACTTTCGTTTACCTGCACCATTTCGGCCCAATGTTTCTTTCGTATTTTCGCAACTCCTTAGCAAACGTGCGTGTCGCGCGCTGTTTATAATATTAAGATGATATAAACTATTTACAACACTCGTTATATTCAACCCGTTGAACTCTGATTCGGCTAATTTCTCGCATGAAGTCAATATAACAATTATATCTTTCCCCGTCAAATGTGCTTCAGCTAAATCCATATTTTACGACAATTTTTCAAACCTTATCTTAAATCATTCTTTATTTAAAAAATACTTTTCTCTGCGTTTTGTTATATATTCATATTTCACAATATTTTCGATATTAAAAAAAGCATATTGACTTCAGATAAAGCGAAACTTCAAGCAGTATTACAGGAAATTTCCATTTCAGCGTCTGATTCATGGCTTCCGGCAACACGTGGTTGCTATATCAGATTACTATATCGATTAAAAATGTGGTGTCGTCCATTGTTATTATTATTGTCACGAGTAAAAAAATATATCAAGGTAATATTTTCAATATACATGTTTGTATACAACGTTAATATAAACCCATTTAAACCTAACTTCTATACAAAACTGTAAAAAAGATATATAAAAATATATATATAGCGTGTAACTAAATATTTTAATAGCTTATTATAAATACGCCACGTGATCTGATGACACATGTATGCGTCTGAATAATAGGGGAAGTCAAAAATAGTGAAACTATTCTACCTATCATTTTAACTGATTATTTGAAATTATAAATTATTTTAATAAAAACAAAATATTCTAAAAGTATTATGGCCAGAAATATGATGAGAACTAAATTGAGCAATCTTTGACACCACTTCCAAGAGGCAGTCTGACCATGCCTGTGGCTGGCAATCTTTAAATATTCATGTTACTATTTCCAAAACAATTAATAAACAAAGCTAAGAGTGGAAGCTGGTCGTGTCAATTTAAGGAATTCAGTAACGTAATTGGTAAAAATCTGGAGACAGAGTGATGCCTCGGAAGCATTAATCACAACAAAATGACATGTAAATTGCAGACTCAGTTTGATTGAGTCTGTACATGAGGGAAAATGAAAAGATGCAACATCATTTAAGCCCCTAGTACAGGCTTGAGCGGTACACTTAAAAGTGCTTGACTCAATGATCCAGAAGAATCAGAAAAAAATATAACAACACTGAAGTGAAGTACGGAGTCAATTTTTAGAGGTGCCACACACCTGCTGTTTTGAAGTATAAAAATCTGTAGAAAGTATCACGTGACGTATTATTAAAACAGATAAAATAAATTGAATGGAATATCAAACGTCTATACATTGTATCATTAATTCTAACAGGACTGATTAAACTGAAATTAAGACAGTTTGTAAACAAAAGTGTGGTCATTATTTGCATATTTTTTCATGACAGTAAATTAATAAACAAACCGTTAAAGGCACAACAGACCTAAGCCATGAATAACATTTTTTTTCTCTTTAGAGTTTAATAATGTTAACGCTGTAATAATACATTCAAAGGATTCTGGATAATTACACTGGAAATTGGAAGCGTGTAATAATGTCATTAATTTGTGATAAAGATAGCAAAACGTAAACAAAGTCGCTATAACTGTTTTGTTGTTGTTGTTTTCTCGAAAATGGTCACAGGAGAGAAACGAGAATTGTGGCGGATAAATAGGCCTTTAATATTCGCATAATTAAACCATGCATACAAGTTAGAGAATACTAAACATGTTTGTCAATCAATTAAAACAATCAATAAACCGCACACAGCAATTCACTGTACATGCATGTTAAACTATAATGATAGCAGACGATACCTTAAAGTTATATATGTGTGAGTATTATTTCATTTTGTATAGCGCACCGATGGTGCTTAATTTTACTTATTTTCAAACACAAAAATCATAAGACATTAAGTATTCAAGAGTTCAAGAGGATATAAGTTATTTCAACAACCGGAAGCACGTGATAAGAGCATATATAACAGGATGTATATTCTCTAGGGAAGATGACAAGACAAATAAACATTGATGTTAAAATGACATTAAAACTACTCGCCTTTCATAGAGGAATGTTCAACATACATATAATATATTTGTTATAGGTCATGTACGTGCATAATGATAACAACAGAATTAATGCAAATAAGTGTTCAATATTTCAATTAATAAACAAAGAGGAAACTAGACCCCCTGGTTGACTCCGACATTTAAATTTTTCTTTTGATGCATATATTGTACCTATCGACCAGTATAGTTTTAAATAGAGCATATCAATGGGGTTGAATATCTGTTTATTTCGCAATATCAAGCACAATCTTTTTGGTTTGATATACATATTTTTGATCAAATGAGACGTGAAGAAGTCGTGAAATAGATGTAACGAAAATCCTTATCGTCAAATAACGTGATATTATAAGCATTTTGCGAAGATTTGTCAATACATGTATTGGACTATACTAGTATAAAAAAGTTGTGTCAGTGCTTCAAAAGAAATAGAGCTTACAATTGTTGAGTCCAACTCAAAACAAAATAATAGAAAAAATAAATACGGAAATAGAATTTCCAACTCAAAACATTAAATACGGACTGTCATTTAAACATGCATGCAGAATGCCACTGACAAGATCGTGGTAACAGGATATGTTTTGTTTTATGATAATTAACGTAAACTATCTCTATAGGTAAAACAACATCATAGTATGTATTTGGTTATTTGACATTCATTTATACTTCTTGATTTAAAGTGGATTTATTACTTCAGTTAAACTTTAACACAGGGATTGTTTTAAGGAGTGATTCAAATGTTACATATTTCTAGTTCAATGAACGGTTTTAACATCAAATAAAAACACTACTTAAACTTTCAAGTGTATCTTTATTACACTTATATTCACCAGGCACATTCATAATATTGCGACGTCAAAAGAAGTGGTAATATAGTAACATGTGACCGTTACAGTTATAGAAGAAAAAGAAATGACTCAGCGAAGTTAAAATTGTTACTTTCGTTTTTTTTTATGCTGATGAAATATTTCTTCAAGGAAAGACATTGATATAGATCTGATTCGAATAATGCATGGAATATTTAGTAACAAAGTGTTATGGTCTTAAACTTTTAGTATACAAAGTGAGATACGTATTTTCTATCAAACAAATGAAACTTCGCTGTATTTAACGTAATCATATTGCAAAAAATGTATACTAATGTACTTTCAAAGTTCATTGACATATACAGTGTATAGACAACGGTGGATTACGTTATTTGATTATTCATTTGTAAAGTGAGAACAATATTCTGTTGAAACATAACTTAGAAAGGTAAAACTCTCTTGGAAACAAAGATGGAGTCATTTAACCTACAACTGAGCCTACCCAAATCCTCGACACATGTTGTTATGACAACAGTTTTGAACGTGTTCACAAAAATGGTTGAACACCCTTGGAGCCCTATGATTGACTTTAACAAGGTCACCAGCGGAATTAAACGCTTTGGTTTAATTGACGATGGGCAATTTGACCATATTCTGCTAAAGTATGCAACTTTTAAAGGACCATATAAAGATAAACTGTGTCTATATCTTCAAGACATTCTTCCTATTGTAAGCGTTACTGACTTTGCTCTGATTCTGTCGGATGCGGGATACTCGGACACTTGTGACTCGATTCTTTCAATCGGAAATACGAACATCAGTGTGATTAAGAAAAGGCAGTTGCCTCGTGCTGAAATTGTTCATGAATTTTATATCACGTTAAAAATGCTAGCAGACGACAATGCGTTTATGGGCAGTGCACGGTCGCACTTTGAAAGCATGATATCAGAGTATATCCTTAAACTTTCAAATTCAAAAAGTGCCGGGAAAAGACAACTTATATCAGACAAGCTTGTGGCTATATTTTTCCTTTTGGCAAAGCAGTATTCTGATGTAAAGGAGAGAATGGGAACATTTCAAAGGTTACGTGCAATAATGCCACATGACGTTGATCGGACAACCTTTGATGCAGTCTTTCATTCTCACATGGCTCTAAATTGGGCCATTCAAGGCGATTCTGAAATAGCCAATAAGCACGAACAAATTGCGAAAACGGCATGTGACATGTGTAGTCCATGCCTGGCAACAGCCGCCATGAGTTTGAATTCGCAGTGCAAAAATAATAGACTGTTTTATGAAAACGGTAAGAGGAATTATCTAGACAGGGCCTATACTGATTTTGAAAGAAGTATGCAGCATTGTGTAACCTTCAGTGATGAAGAAAGACGCGTATGGAGCACTATTGCGACACTTGAAATGTCTCATTCATTGCTTGGAATAAATTTGTATCTAGAAGTGTGTGACATAGAAAACATACCCACTGGAAATATAGAACGGGCAAGGGCAATTATAAACCGATTTAAAGAACCGGAAGAGGTACGGAGAAAGATGTTCTATAAGTTGGCCGTTGCAAGATTACATGAATCAAAAGATCCTTCCTTGGCAAGGGCCTATTTAAATGAAGCGATAGAGATGACAGATGAAGGCTGCTACAAAGAAGTTGAAAAGATAAATTTACAAAACTATATGGACAAACTAGTGGCAAAATATTTGCCACAGCCTTCTCTTTGATGTGATTTAAAACGTCAAAGATGTAATCTCGTTAATATGCAGTCGAAAAAAACGTCTACCTCATTTGAAAACAATTTTTGTCTGATTAAAAACTGGTTACTTACGTTTGTGCTAGATATGTGTGTTCAAATACGTATGTGTATATTATTTTACTAGGAATTTTGTCGCACGGGGAAAACTGCAAAAAAACAACAACAAAAAAACTACAAACAAACTAGTAACAGGAAATACAACTAATAGATAGTGCATGCATAGACTACATACATTACAGAAGGTAAGGCTTAATTGTTTTATTGTTAAATTGTAGATATGTTGTAAACATAACAATATATCTTTGTTTTTCTACAAGCTACACGAGAATCTAAATATAGATCTATATTATTACACCATATAAAAATCAGGGGATTTCCCTCGGTATTCTGCGGTCATAAGTTATGTTTTTGCGTATTCAAAATGCGATCAATTACCATTGCTTGATCTACTTTTTTCATGGAATAGGTTGAAAATCAGTTACCGTGATCTGTTTAATGGTGCGCCGCGATCAATAAACTTTGTAGCAGTAAACATTCTACGTGTTTATCAGACCAAATCTGCTTTGAGATAAAATATTCTTTATTTCCATACAGTATAGGGCCTATTTGTGTGCCCAAACATAGAAAACATAAACACCTCATAATTTTTATAAAGTATACACGCTTTTGTTAAGATTTTGAGTTTTTCAAAACGTATAATATATGTTCATTTTATCATAATCAATAATCATATCAATAATTATATCAACCATATCTGTGACTTACGATAAGATTTTATAAGTTGAATCGTTCAGTTTTATTCTAATCTATACCTTTACCAGTTTACTAAATAAATAAATAAATAAATAATAGATAAATAAGTAAACAAACAAACAAACAAACAAACAAACAAAATAAATCGTGTTGAACAGGATACAGTATTCTACCACTTCCCTATAATATATACTGCAACGTTCGATACGGGTGCGAAAGATAAATTAGTACGAACAGTAATGAGAACAAATCACAATAATCCGTAATTTTGGCGCGGATATGATTTTTTTTTACAGTAGAAACGAAAGCTTCTGAAAGTTGTTTTTAAAGTTTGTATTCTTATGGTACGTTTTATGTTGTAAATTTTGCTTAAATTGTCTTATATTGTAGCTTATATGATGATTAATTTAAATCAGGAAGTATGTCGCTCTGTTGTCTCGGGTTTTCGCGATCTTGAATTTGAAACTTGTTCCCACAGACGCTTGGAGTTATGTGCGTGGCTCCCCTCCTTGATCCGCACTTGTATACACCTTGTGTATTTTTATCGTGCAAACCGTACGTCCAAATATTTTTGCATATTATTACGACCTGGTCACATGTCTTGAACATAAAACTTGTTTTCCGCTATTTTAACAACGTTTAAAAAAGTCCCTAAAATATCATAATTTCATGAAGATAACAACGTACGCTTTCCTTTGATGTGAGACGACTGGAATGAGTTTCGGTACTGTTTTGCGCTTTCATTTTCATGCCGAGAACCAAAACCCCGCAGCGGTTATTTCCCCTAATCAGTACAGTCTGTACTACAGAAACCAAATCAAGAAGACTGACGGAAAGGGCCAAGTAGTTGCGATTGAATTTCTTTTTCCCAGCGATTTTCCCGCTGTAATATACGGGAAACATTCCAGTCGTCATGAATTCGGAAAGAAGCATGTGGCACGGTTAGGAAAATGTAATTTAAAGTGCAAAGCTTGGAAGAAAGGTACGATCTGAAAATAACATGCATTCATTTATTAAAGGAATATATGCATAGACTGATTTACACCAGAAATAAATGGCATGCGATAACATAAATACCTGAAATATATGTAGGTCACTTGTGTTTACATTTCGAAGCTTGGTATCTTCAGGAAATTTAAGCGTTGGTAAAAAATTGACTTTTTTAATATGTTATGAAATTCGGTTGAAACTTGTTCACGTGCTAGACACTAAACCGTCTCATACTAATAAAAGCAAAAATTTAAAACTTATTCTTGTAATAGATAATTACTTTTACTTTTTTATATTCAGGGGCGGAGAAGGGCGGGGTCTATACTCCAAGTGTCTGTGCTTGTTCCTTGTTGGGTGTACGTACAGACTGGATATGTCTGCTCCGAAATGTCCTATTACCGATCATTTCTAAATAAAATAATATATTTTTTCAGTCAGAGATCTATATGTAACATTTCAATAAAAAATTCAATAAAATAGAAAAGGTAAAACTCCTGGCAAGTTCATGAAGTCTAGGAGGCACTTAGTCCTAATGGGGGACATTAGTGAATAACCTCCCCTGAGTACTCCCTATAAATAGATAGGTCCTAAGCATTTGGATTACTCGGACTTTATCGCCTATTTCTTTGTAGCAAACTGAATTAATTAGGGCTAATTATTATCATTTGTAATATTCAGATTAAATATTGCAATAAGATGTAGAATCTATTGACATAAATGAAACATTTTTTTCTTATTGTTTACATATTTGTTGATGCATGTGGAAATAATTGATTAAAACATATCAACCTGTCTTACATAAAACTCAACGATAAAACCAAAGGATTCCAAATATTTGGACCTACTTACATTTTAGTTAACCTCGGTTTTTATCAAGGGAAGATAATCCACTATTGTCCCTCATTATAAGACCTATACGTAACCTATTTCATATTTATCATTCATTAATCTGATATTTTACATTTTTCATTTTCCATGTTACGTTAGGTCTTAACAGATCTTTGCAAAATCGTGTAGCAAAAAAATTGACATTAGACATCGATTTAGATCTAATGAATTTAAACAATTAAAACAGCGTGTATTTACATTAATTTTGACCTATTTATGAACAAAACTAAAAAATAAATACCTTTAAACAAAATAATTGAACTGTCACAACCGAAAAGTCATGATTAAATCCTCTCATTTAATTAAATTCTTTGTACAGCTGATATACAAATGGCCGCCATACAGTGCGCGAAATCTGATTGGCTAATTCAAATGCAAGCGTTTAAATGAGTCCAGAAGTTTCTAACGGAATATTTTTTCAACGAAATAATTGTCCATGCAGTCAGTGTGTTCAAATATATTTTTCCGTTCAAAAAATTGGAATCAATCTGTAAAACGCTTTACTTAACCAGTATGGCCGATGAGCGAAATAGACTGATATTTATATATTATTTTTAATTGATAAGTACATTGTTTTAAAGTTTTTGTTAATGATAGACCATGCAATTGAAAGAACAGAAGATAAGCTTTTGAATAAAGCTTGAAAGGCAAGTCAACAGACATTTTTTTAATTTTTCAAAATGCTACGCGTTTTTGAGCAATAACTATTGAAGTAAAGGCTTGACCAACATAAAACTATAACAAGCCTGTAACGTCTAATCTATTGGACTAGGAGGCACTTTATACTGTTTATGCCTGATACCTTGGAAATATGGGTACCACGGAAATATGAGGCACCAGCATATATGATTATATCAAAGAGAATACTTTTTTTGTCTGGCTGTTTAAAAAAAGAAGGGTTACAGGTCTTTTCCCTCCTATCTCACGGGTCCGAATATGGCCCCCATTTCCCATCCAAAATATGTGTTTTTTTTCCCAATCCAAAAAAAATATTCCCAATCTAGAAGTCGGCATTTTGAAAGAAAAGGTACCGCATTTTCAATTTTGGTGTCGCGAAATAGTGTTACGGAAAATATTGATGTTTTGTGAATAAAAACAAGATTTTTAATTAATATCTGTTTTACATTTGTACACATTTAAGCCTGTCCTTGTATTTTTGATATGACAGAAAAAGCTGAACAGTTTAAGTAAGATTTATTAGTCCCCTACCGGTTTACCGGAGGGGACTTTAGGTTTACCCTCCGTCCGTCTGTCCGTCCGTCTGTCTGTCCGTCCGTCTGTCTGTCCGTCCGTCCACAAAACTGGATCCCGCGATAACTTGAAAAGTACTGAAAATATTTTTATGAAACTTGGTATATGAATAGATAGCAGTGTTGAGATTATACAAGTCTTTTTCTTTTCTTCTTATGTTGAAAATTCTGGTTGCTATGGCAACACATAGACTGAAAATATGGCAAATTTTACACATACACTGAATCCAGTGATAACTCAAAAAGTACTGGAAATATTTTTATGAAACTTGACATATGGGTAGATAGCAGTGTTGAGATTATGCATGTTTTATCTGTTCTTCCTATTTTGAAAAAATATCAGTTGCCTTGGCAACAAATAGGCTTAAAACATGGCAAATATAACAATTTTTGTGATTAGTCAAAAAGAGCTGAAAATTTTTATGAAATTGATCTTTAATTCAAGAGTTATCTCCTCTTTAAGAGTTTTGCTTTTAAAATGTTATATTTTGGTAACAGGGATGTTTCAAATATTAACTTTAGAGTGTCCTTCAGTCTGTCTGTCTGTCTGTTCATAAAAACTGTTTCCTGTGATCACTTTTAAAGAACTTTTCCAACAAGTTTACTTAAAATAGAGAAAAATTGAAACATAAGTGAATGGCCAATGGCCCTTCAGAATGTTGATGGTGTTCTAACCGGTAGGGGACTTATGGATTGCTTGCAATACTATGATAATTGCTTGTTTAAATTTATTTTAACAATGGTAACACCTTGAATGCTAGCATATTTTCCCAAGCAAAGTGGCAAATTTCACAATAACTTTTTCCCAAATTGTAAAATTTTATGACACAAATCAGGTACGTATGTTAATATATATACCTGCACAAATATCCCAAATTTGCTGTCTCTTTCTACTCAGTTGTTGCAACATGCTACAAAGTAGTCACAATATTGGCTATCATCAAGCGACATATGATCACTGACTTGGAGAACTTAGAAAGTTTTTGGTTAAAGTTTTGCAAATAACATCAATCAAGAATCTTCAAAACTACTTAAGGACTAGGTATTCACTTGAAACTTAATAACCTGCCTTTATGATCAGTGCTCAAACAGTTGAACAAAATCTTGAACCATCTTGTAGGTAATGGTTTTAAAACCCTTGCCATGGATCATGTAGAAACAGTGTTCATTTGATTTTAGTAGATAGGATTTTAGGTAATACCATGTAAATGATTTGTGATATCGTGTGATATCGTGGTCTTTTAGAATGAATGATTTGTTGACAAATTTTGATCAAAGAAGCATGAGTTTTGTAAAGGCAAACCAAGGCAATGCTAAATATCTGAGCCTGTAGGTACTGTACTTTCACAAAATGTTTTAAATGTGTTTTCCATAACAAGACTTGAGCTTGCTCAAGGTGAGTTTTTAGGGTAGGTGAATGTCCGTCATCCATCCACATTTTTTCATTAACACTCTAGCAGTCACATTTTTGACTCAATCATCATCAAACTTTGTCAGGATGTTTGTCTAGGTAATTGCTTGGATGAGTTTGAACATGTGTCTAACTTTAGACATTATAGTTTCACTCTTTCGGACTTATATGTGATTTCCTATATAAATCTTTGTAAATCAAGTAATAGCCAATTTTGATCTTAGAAAGCCAAAACGTGTGTTCTGCACATAAATGACTAATTATAACTTATAAGTAATATTTTTGCCGAACGTGTTTAATTTCTTTCTAATCAATAGTTCAATTGGTACTGTCACACAGATCGGGCAGAAAATTTTGAAATTCATACAAAATTACTAAGCATGACCTTGACCTGACAGAGGTCAAACCTGAGCTCTGCATATATTATTGTCTCATTATGGTTAACATTTCTGCCAACTATTTTCAATGTCCTTCCAAAGGTTCAGAAGAAACAGACCGGAAAACAAAATGATAAGTAATTGTTAACAGACATAGGGCAGTGATTTTTCTTACTTGATTGGGAAGAGGCCTTAGCCTTTTGTTTTTGGGAAAAATTATCGCTAAAATTGCTAATTTGGGAAGTAAAAAAGCAGGTTTAAGTTAAGATATTTGGGAAAACTGCATGATTTTGAAGAAAATTTCAATTGGGAAGAGGCCCTTTTTCGGAGTCTGTTATATGAGCAGAAAAATCACTGTAGGGAAATGTATTATGACATGTGTTGGTCATATTTTTACTGAAAAGTAACAGTAAATGCTTAAAAATTATCAGCACCTACTCCAGGCAACTAAAAAAAAATACCTCGTGCTAGTCATTTGGAAAGCTAAAATTTATGGTTTTTTTTCAGAAAAAGAAGATATTGAAAGGAAATGGCGGAGCAAGTAGATGATCCTTTATGTGTAGATGATGCCTATGCTGTTCAGTTCTTTGGCTTTCTCCCACAATCCTTGCTCAATGGCAGTAAGTATCTTCTTTTAAAATTGCTTTCGAAAATTTTTCAGTGTTGCTTATAATTGTTTGGTTATATTTTCTTTGGTGCCAACGACTAAGATGCATGAAGTAATGAGCAAAGATGCACCGGAGGGTTTCCTCTCCCAGTAAAGCTGGAAAAATGCCATGTGACTGATAAAGCAGTGATTTTTTTTCTTCTAATTTTCAAAAGAGCCTGTGGCTTTCTGAAGGGGAAAATATAAATAAATAAAAAAGGGGGAAAACCTGAAATCAAAGTCCAAAAATGGAATTTACCCACACCTTTTATGAAAAAAATTATGAATACAATTTAACATGTATTGTACATAGCAGAGGCTATCTATAGGGACAGATTTCTGTCTTCTAGATGATACAAGTCCAGACTTCCCGAAAGTTGAAAAAAACTGTCAGACATTCGGTCTGACAAACCATGAAAATCTGCCGGACCGAAACAAAATCTGTCAGACCAAATAAAATTAATCAAAATCAATGAAAAACTTGTGTTTGTATTTCTAAGACACTTTTTGTTTTTTATTTTTTTGCCGTAAAAATCGGCACAATCCGTACAGGGCATTTTCATCTCCTCCCTGTCATACACCAATGATTCATGGTTCTGCTTCCATTTTTCATTAAATTTTGTCTCAGGTCTATTCTTTTTATCCTTTTATTGCTGTTCTGCGCACTTTTCTGACGTAGATTTTCGTTTTTTCCCAGGTTTGGCACCTTTAGCGACGCCATTTTGTATATATGCGGCTTGGATAAAAGCCGGACAGTCGGACCGATCCGGAATAAAAAATTGTCGGACCTGATCAAAATTTATCGGACATGTCCGTCGGACCGATGTATTTCGGGAAGTCTGCAAGTCAGATGCTGTTAAGTCATAGTTCTAGTAAGGAAGAGCACGAGGCATGTTAGGGGAAAATATAACTTTTTTGGACTAGGGGAAACAGCCTTTATTCGGCTGTAAAATACCGTGAAAAAAAATCACTATAAATTGACATAAAACCCAACGAAACTAAACAGTTAAACTAACAAAAGCATATTTGCTATGTAGATTTTATCTATGGATTTCTACCCTTAGAATATAAAGTTTTTTTCATGTTTCATTAAGGATGAACTATTGTTTTCTAAGTGCCTGATATTTACCCTTATCCTGCGTAATTTGTGTAATGGTTTTACCAAGTTTTGAATTTGAAACAATCCATTTAAAAGTTTTATAGATTTCAGTATAAAATTACAAAAGTTAAGCTACCAACATTATAAAGCTTGGTCAGATGTCATGGATATATGGGCTGGCCTGGCTCTACTAGTCCGAAAGCTCATCGGTCCAGTTCCAACAGGTCTAGGGTTCAGAAAATTTATCACTTAGCAATTTAATAAAAGATTAAGTACGGTGATAACAGGGTGTAAATCGTTTATTTCTATATGTTATTTCAGTTTATAATGGTTTTTGGGAGTATTTACAAGAAGCGATGGCAGCCCTCAATGAAAGTATTCTGATTACAGTAAGTAAACGGTGTTTAATATTGTAGCTTTGAGTAAACTTAAGTAAAATATAAAGATTTTTGTCAGGATAAAGTGAAATATATATAGGATATTGAATGAGTGTAAGTTCAATACTGAATTTATTGCACGAGTTGAATAAAATTATATTATGCGAGCAGCCTCTGGCGAGCATAATATTATTTTTTTTCAACGAGTTCAATAAATTCAGTAATGATCTTACACAAATTTAATATTCTATTTATCACATACCCAAAATAAAGACCGTTTGAAGCGAAAAAAAGAGTTATTTTTCATTGACGCGCCTATAGTATAACGCTATCATTTAGCGCGTCTTTACACTATGTTTGTATAACGCTAATGACTTCACGTCAAAATATATGCACAGCCATGCAATACCATTTTTACGGAGCCGCAAAATCGGCACGGGTGTGTGATAAAAAGTTTTTAGTCAAGTTACAGTAAAATATAAATATTTTCACCAGTGTAAAGTAAAATAAAAAGATTTAATGTCAAGGTAAAGTAAAATATAAAGATTTAAGTCAGGGTAAAGTAAAACAAAGATTTTTGTCAGGGTAAAGTAAAACAAAGATTTTTGTCAGGGTAATGTAAAATATAAAGATTTTCCTAAGGGTTAAGTAAAATATAAAGATTTTCATAAGGGTAAAGTAAAATTTTAAAGATTTTCGATGGGGTAGAGTAAAATATAAAGATTTTCTTCAGGGTGAAGTAAAATATAGATGGTTGTCAGGGTAAAGTAAAATATGAAGGTTTTCGTCAGGGTAAAGTAAAATGTCAAGATTTTCTTCAGTGTAGAGTAATATACAAAGATTTTCTTCAGGCTAAAGTAAAATGTAAAGATTTTTGTCAAGTAGAGTAAGATATGTAAAGATTTCCGTTGGGGTAAAGTAAATTGTAAATATTTTTGTTAGGGAACAGTAAAATGTAAAGATTTTTGTCAGGGTAAAGTATAATGTAAAGATTTAGTCAGTGTTAAGTTAAATATAAAGATTTTTGTCAGGATAAAGTAAAAAATGAAGATTTTTGTCAGGGTAAAGGAAAAAAAAGGAGAGATTTTCTTGGTCAGGGTAAGGTAAGATGTAAAGATTTTTGTCAAAAAACAAACCATTATCCTGTGGTTGAACCGAAATTTTTGTTAGAATAAAAAAGAAAAAAAATGATTTTTGCTATCAATAACTCTTTCATAAGGAAGTTGAAGTCATACTGTTCTCATAAACATTTCACCTGAATTATTCTTATGAAAAACCAGATGGTTTCGAAACGGAGAGATCTTAATTAAAATATAAATCCTTTTTTAGCTCTACTAATCGATAAGAATAAGTAGAGCTATTGTTGTCACCCGGGCGTCGGCGTAACCACTTATGTTAAAGTTTTTGTAATAGTTCAAATATTTTCAAAGTCCATTGACATATGGCTTTGAAACTTTGCACACTTGTTCACCATCATGACCCCAACCTGTAGACAGGAGGAGGTAACTCTATCAAGCATTTTGACAGAATTATGCCCCTTTTTCGACTTAGAATTTACGTTAAAGTTTTTGTAATAGTTCAAATATTTTCAAAGTCCAAAGACATATGGCTTTGAAACTTTGCACACTTGTTCACCATCATGACCCCAACCTGTAGACAGGAGGAGGTAACTCTATCAAGCATTTTGACAGAATTATGCCCCTTTTTCGACTTAGAATTTACGTTAAAGTTTTTGTAATAGTTCAAATATTTTCAAAGTCCATTGACATATGGCTTTGAAACTTTGCATACTTGTTCACCATCCTGACCCCAACCTGTAAACAGGAGGAGGTAACTGTATCAAGCATTTTTTTTACTATCAAGCACTAAGAATAGTCGAGCGTTGCTGTCCTACCGACAGCTCTTGTTATCCGGTCTTGATGCATGGTTTCTTTGTATTCTTCCATTTCAACTTGAATTATTCTGTCTACAGTGAACTGAGTTTAGTCAGTATTGAATGAACTATGTTAATTTTGTTTTCAAGTTTAAGGGAACTGTGTCGGAAACTGAACTACAGGAGGTGTCACATAAACGAGGAAAGATTGCCATAGATAGACTTGATAGGAAATTTGATAAAGCTGAGGTAAGATTTTGTTTCATTTACAAAATGATTGAATACACGTCGGTGAATAGTGCAATGAAAAAATAACAATAATCTACGTGACCAACGGCAATTTCTATAAATATAGTTCGGAATGTATCTGTAACATTCATGTCTCAAAAAGAATGGGAAGTTCTTATATTTTAACGAAAACAGTTATTGTTATTAACAATTGGTCAATCGCTATGATAGTAATAATTGACTTTTTTCTTTTAAAAAAAAAGATAATTATATATTACTGATTCAACTCAATTTGACAGCGAAAAAAATGAGCTTAAAGTCACTTAAAAGATATTCTTTGTAGTCTATAAAAGTTAAGTATTAAACTTAAAAAAAATGCTTTACATTCAAATTTTAAAATATCGCAAAAAAAACAACAAGTGGCTGGTTTTAATCTGCTTTGAAGAATATTGTTCTGAATGTAGAAATTGGAGGATAGAGGTGTATGTGTGTGTATTTGCGTTTATTTATACTCGCCACCGGTTGCCCATATGGGCGAGTCCTCCAGAAGAGTATTAGTCATTTTAGATTTTTGGAGGATAGTGCAATAACAGATACAGAAAGATGCCCCAATTCCAGAAGCTTCTCCTGTGTTTAAGCACCCATGCACGGGACCACGATTTAAAGTCTCATCCGAAAGACTGATTAGTAATTTTAGTTGGCCAGCCCGGGAATCGAACCCACAATGTCGAGATTACAAGTCTCGCGCTCTAACCGATTGAGCTATGCGGGCTGGCAGAGGTGTATGTTGACCCAGAGTGTATATTGTATATTAACAGTCTTTTCTTTCCTAGCACACAATTATGTAGAACATATCTACAACAATTTCCATCTTCCAAACAACTGGACCTCTCGTTTGTAAAGATCCTGTAACTCAATTTTTTTTATGGTTTTATATCATAAATATAATGCTCTAATAAAGATTTATCAATATTGTAAGTTCCAAAAAGCATTATTTGTAAAGATATTACCGAATTTACATTTTCATGTTAATAAAGGGAGGTAATTAGAAATTTATTTTCTATCAAGTCTGCTTCATATTTTCAATGAGAAATGAATGCATATATTTTAATGATTACATATAATGTGGACAAATATTTGCAGTACATATTTTACATATTCTTTGATGTTGTTTGAAAATTGTTTTAGAAGGATAATTATATACATATACAAAATTTCATGCAAGTGTGGTACAACATACAGGATCTTTAAACATGATAAATATTAATTTTTTTTCTTTTGACAAATTTCAGAATTACCTGTTTAAGAATGTGTTCAGTATACCCGACCATCTTGTGTTGCCTAGTGACAGACCACAGGTGGATAATCCCTGCACCGAGGAGGAGATGATCATGCTTGATGATGATATTAAACATGTTTTAGATAGAATTGTAGCAGTAGGTATTCTACTTGAATTATCTATCTATCAGTCATCATATTTAGCATAAGCCTGGTGGCCCATGGCCAGTGAAAATTAGTTTGGGCCAGTGAAAATTTTAAGAAAATTTAGTTAAACATATAGTAGCAGTGTTCAATCTAGAACTAATTCCCAGGGGGCCCTTCGGGCCCATAAACTTTTCAAAAGGGGGTCATTTGAGAAAAAAGGGGGCCCACACTTAAAATGAACATGAAATTCAAATTAGGTATTGTATCTTTTAAGTTATTTGTTCACGTACCATATTTAGACCAAAAACGGTTGCAAAATTCCAAAACAACTCAACTAAAAAAAAATGACATTAGCGTTGATACAGGCATAATTTTAAAAACTGATTGGTAAAGAAACGCGATGACATAATGATCAAAGAAAAATATGAATCTTATTTTAATGTTACAAGGGATATTTGATAATAATGTTCGGTTTTTTAATCAGCGCCCGATATATAAAGGAAAATCATATTTTGAAATCAGCTTTGTTTATGAAGAATATAAACTTACAATAGTCGCTAAAAACATTTACCCTTCTCAATATATCCAAGCGAAAAACAAAGTGTCAACAGGTGCTAAGACAATGTATATTGACATACCGGTACCTTTGATCTTTTGTCAGGGCAGCAGTTCTTACGTCACGCTTAAGATGTCTGTATTGATTAATGATATGCACAATGTTTTAGCGCCGACCAGCCAAAGACCAATCAAAGTTAATTTACTAAATTGTCAGACACTCCCTAGCCAATCGTGTTTGATTGCTCCATCTTTAAGACTTTTTTAATTGGATGAAGGCGTGTTCGTAATAATTTATGCACACTTCTCTATAATTAACTCGCACTTTTCACAAATATGTAAAAAAATTTTTCCTTTGGAAAGTAATTACATATTTATTTGTTTTGACCGTGAAAAAACTATAACTACACGCACGTATTGGATTATCTGTGACAATTTGTTTTGCTTATAAAAACTGTGACTCAAAAGTAAGTAATAGTTACGGTACGAAGAACAAGTCTACATAGTATTTACGGACGCGGACCGAGAGAGCGTAGCGATAAAGATTTTAAATGGGTTACCAAGTGCGGTAAACTATCTTACCAACATGCTCTTGTTTTTCAATACAAACTTCAGTTTTGAATTCAGTATTTATTAATATTATTCACAAGAAACTTCTTTTATGTACTTAATCAGGTTTAAGAAAGCATTCTAATGTCATTTAGGGTATTTTCTATGAGTGCGCCCGTCGGGCCCACAGTTGATTTTGTTTTGCGCCGGCGGCCTTTTCAGGGGGTCAATGGCGCAATGGCGCGCTCTAGATTGAACACTGTAGTAGAATAAATTCAAAACTGGAATTCGGGCCAGTAAATTTAAAATCTTAAATTCAATGACTGGAATATTATTCCCAATATATATATACAGAATTAAATGGATTTACAATTAGTGGGAACATACTTTTTGGCATTGGGAACAATTTAACATGACCCAATATCGGTCATCAAAATTGGCCAGCGAAAAGAAAACTTTAAGTATCCAAGTCGGTGGACCTGGCTAATATAGTATTTACTTTGGCCTCGATGAATACCACTTTAAACAGGTTCATAGACTTGGATATTCATCTTGTCTTCGTACAATAATTGTATATTATGAAATTTGTTTCAATGTTTATAGGTAAAATATGCTAATGCTCAGCTACAAGACAGACTGGTTGAGATGCAGTCACTTACAAAACAATTAGATTCAACACTACACAGCATAGAGAAAATGCATACAGATGGTAAATAAACCAATTTCTATAAAATACTAGTTAAAGGGGCACTGTGACCTTTGAGGTCAAGCCACTTGCCCCTTACTGCTGTCGGTTTGAATCTTAACAGGGATGTTTGATTCATCAGTGGTTTTACTTAGCCAACTTGTGCTTGAAATATTTTCCTATGGGACAACTGAGGTCTTCCTTTGCCAGAAAAGCTGGGAAAATTGGCCCCTTCTAGGGAATTACTGTATTTTGATAGACTTGTTTTAGGAAAACACTTGCATGTTTATTGTGTGAAACTTCAATGTCCACAACTTAGATATTTAGCATGAAGAATTGCCTTATTGACCTTAACAAAACTTGTATGATCTCATGCCCCTGGGTTCAATATTGGCCGTGCCCCAGGGGTCACTTGATTTAAATAGACTAATATAGGAAAAAAACACATAAATTTGAGACTTATTTTGTGCAACTACAATGCCTAGAGCATAGATTACTCAAACAAACTTACATGCGGGGCTTTTATTCCCCCGCTTTTGTAGTATTGTTGTTTAGAGGTGCAACGATACCTTTCGATGCATTCAAAACCGGTTTTATGAGCGCCGATTCGATTCCCGATACCAACTGTAACATTTTTGATTCGATTCCCCACCCAAAAATAAACATGGAAAAAAGTGAGAGTTTTAGTCTTTCCCTTCGCGCTTTATCACGTTACATACGATTGGCCAGTTAAAACTCGGTCATCCAATCAGTGGGTGCGTAATGTTTTATTTTCGGCAAACAAGTCAAAATGGGTACCAACATCAATGTTGATAAAATAACATTAAAAATTCCTCCTAAAAAATTAAAATCAAAGGTTTGGGAACACTTTTGGGTTTCGGGAAGGCCAGGACACGGATAAAGCTACTTGCAAAATATGCTTTATGGACGTGTCATATCCAAAGTCCGACAGTACGTCTAATTTAATGCAACATATGAAACGAAAACACAATGTGGACTTGTTTGGTCAGCTTTATCCGTGTCCTGGCCTTCCTGAAGTAAGTTTGATTAGTACTACAGTAAGTAGGCATATTTGACATTGGGATTGATTATTATTTTTTTAGTCAAGTGTGAAAAAAAGTGAACATTTCATGAATTTTATTTTTTCTGTATTGTTTACTAGACTAAGAAGTATTGTGTGACAACACTGACATTAGGATTGATTATTCATTTTACATATTATGGGAATTATAAACAGAATATCTGAATATCAGTTCTGACAACCTTGTTAAACTTTGTTCATTATTATTTACCTTACAATTTACATACTTTGTTAAATTCCTAGTCAGCAGAAGGTATCTGTGATAGTCATGTAACTGAGATGAATGATTATTTGCCTGATTAAAATTATTTCTAAATAGACAAGAGCTTTGTATTCTCATAAACAGAATTATTAAGTCAAATAAGTTTATATAATAGTTATATTACAACAGAAAAGCAAAGCACTAAGTTGAAGGCCACTCACTTTTTGAGCAGACAAGCAGAATTATATACCAAAGATAAATTAGTAATCAGAAATGTATCGAATCAGAAAAAACCGATTCAGAGTGTCTAAAATCGAAATCGAATCGAACATTTGGTGTATCGTTGCAGCCCTACTGTTGTTAGTGGTGGCTGAAATGTTTTAGGGACACATTTCAATTTTTATAGTGAAAACCCTTAAAGTATTATTTATGAAATGTTCTATAATCATAAGTTCTTAAAGACTTGAATTGCCCCGCCTTTGTGGTGCTCTTTTAGTGATAGCTAAGTGTCATTCAGACAAATTTCTAGTTTTATAGCGAAAACCCTTAAAGTAGTATAAAAACTGTATTGATGAACTGTTCCATTATCAAAACAGGAAAGGGACATTACCCAAAACTCAGCTGTGTAAGCGTTAACTAAATGTATGCTCTCCCTTTATGATGTGGCAGTCACATATGCAATAATTTCATCTCAAGCAGATACATTACATTGTATGTACTAAAACTGACATTTGAATTTTCTGGCCAATGACAACTTAGTTTGTTGTATTGTTGCACAGAAGAACCATGTATGTAATTTAAAGTAACAACACTCGATAACAACACTCGAAGGTTGGAGGATATTTAAAAGGGGGATTTTAAAATTAATTTTGCATACATGAACAAGGAAATTCAGAAGTGTGTGTTTTATTTGTGTGTTGCTTTATTGTTTTTTTTTGTTTTTTTTTTGGAAACATACCTTTTCCCTAAAAACTAGAAAATATTCTGTATATCAATTTTAAAACCTGGTTTTTGCACTTATTTAAGGTATAAAGCTCTATCTTGTGAAATATTTTCTATTAAACGATAGTTATAAACAATAAAATGATGTTATTTCTTTTCTTTATACAAATTTAGTTCGATTGTGCAGACACCTATAAGCTTATTGAAATATTCTCAAAATTTATCTATTCCGGGATTCATCCAGTTATTCGCATTGAATGTAAAGCTTCTTGCTGACCTAAGCAATGGCTCGCTCCTGGCGGGGTTTGAACCCACGCAACTTCTAGGCATTAGATTATTAGTCTGGTGTGTTAACCATTTGGCCACGCAATTATTGTTTCATTAATCTTATGGTAGATTCTCGAAATCGCTATAACGTAAAATGTTTTATTGTTTAAGGCATGTGAATGTTGTATGAAACAACATAAAATGATCTTGAACAATATATTATGCTGCTGTTAAGTAGGGTTTTATTTTCTATTTTATTTATTTTTACTACAGGCATCAGATAAACAGCTTTATTAAATACTTATAAATGAAATATTGATGAAATAAAATGACTATTTTCATTTTCCGTATTTTTACTATAAAAATTTATTTTCACTGCAGTCATATTTTCAATGTTTTCACTGGTGCCTTCCCAGACTACTTTCTTTTTTATTCAGCCGATACACAAAATTTAGTTACCTGCAATCCAGAGCATGCCCATTGATTGGCTAATTTTTGCTGGGGTTTACTTATTGTGATGGAAGAGGTAGGGAGAGGGACAGAAATATCATATTCAGATGCTCGCTCATTGGTTACTTTTTCCCGGGGTTTCATACTGTGACAACAGGGAATGTGTTTTAAGCTCACCTGTCACAAAGTGACAGGGTGAGCTTTTGTGATCGCTTTTCGTCTGGCGTCCGTCAGTCGTCCGTCTATCCGTAAACTTTTGCTTTAAATGACATCTCCTCATAAACCACTGAGCCAATTTCATCCAAACTTCACAGGAATGTTCCTTTGGTGGTCACCTTTAAAAATTGTTCAAAGAATTTAATTCCATGCAGAACTCTGGTTGCCATGGCAACCAAAAGAAAAATCTTTAAATATCTTCTTTTAAACAACCCTAAGAGCTAGAGCTTAGATATTTGGCATGAAACATCTTCTAGTGAGTGTCTACCAAGTTTGTTCAAATAAAAGCCCTGGGGTCAAAATTGGCCCCGCCCTAGGGGATCATTGATTTTCCCTATATGCATATAGTAAAAACTTAAAAAACCTTCTTTTAAAGAACCCAAAGAGCTAGAGCTAAGATATTTAGCATGAAACATCTTCTAATGAGTGTCTACCAAGTTTGTTCAAATAAAAGCCCCGGGGTCAAAATTGGCCCTGCCCCAGGGGGTCATTGATTTTCCCTATATCCATATAGTAAAAACTTAAAAAATCTTCTTTTAAAGAACCCAAATAGCTAGAGTTTAGGTATTAAGCATGAAACATCTTCTAGTGAGTGTCTACAAAGTTTGTTCAAATAAAAGCCCTGGGGTCAAAATTGGCCCCGCCCCAGGGGGCATTGATTTTCCTTATATGTGTATAGCAAAAACTTGAAAAAACCCAAATAGCTAGAGTTTAGATATTAAGCATGAAACATCTTCTAGAAAATATCTACAAAGTTTGTTCAAATAAAAGTCCTGGGGTCAAAACTGGCCCCGCCCCAGGGGTGTCATTGTTTTTAACTATATGTGTATAGTAAAAACTTAAAAAATCATCTTTTAAAAAACCCAATGAGCTAGAGTTTAGATATTAAGCATGAAACATCTTCTTGTGAGTGTCTACAAAGTTTGTTCAAATAAAAGCCCTGGGGTCAAAATTGGCCCCGCCTCGGGGGTCATTGATTTTCCTTATATGTGTATAGCAAAAACTTAGAAATCTTCATTGAAAAAACCCAAACAGCTAGAGTTTAGATATTAAGCAGGAAACATCTTCTAGTAAATATCTACAAAGTTTGTTCAAATCAAAGCCCTGGAGTCAAAACTGGCCCCGCCCCAAGGATGTCATTGTTTTTAACTATATATCTTCTTTTAAAAAACCCAATGAGCTAGAACTTAGATGTTTAGCATGAAACATCTTCTTATGGGTGTCAACCAAGTTTGTTCAAATAAAAGCCCTTGGGTTAAAATTGGCCCTGACGGGGGGGGGGGGGCTGGGGAGGGCCTATATACAGGTGAGCGACCTCAGGGCCATCATGGCCCTCTTGTTATGTTTGACTATGATACAAAAGAGAAAGAACATCAAAACACTCGGCAATCTGATTAATACTCGGGGGCTACGCTCCCTCATACAAATTAGATAGCCCCGTGTTTCGATGCTCTTTCTGTCACTAACATGCTACGAATATTTGTTTATTGTATATTACAGTAGCGGCACAATCACATGAGATGAGACAGACTGTGAACAGTTATCAACACGTTACAACATTACTAGACAGGTGTAGACTGGATTCGACTAGTTCATGATGGTGCCTTCTCACTAAATCTTTGTTATACAATGATATGAATTCTGACTTCTCAATAGTGATTGGTTAACTGTGTTTAATGATGACTCACACGTGCATTGCTCGTTGTCAACAGAAGATGTTATTTGAAACTTGTCAAATGTGGGTTTTTCTATGCTAATACCTCCGGTACAAACAAACTTTTACTGTTATAAGCTTCATGGTAACAATAGATTAGTCAACCTGTTGCGCTTAATTTCGTAGCTGTAACTGTTAAATTTGTTTGTACCTCTGAATTAGCTGGGAAAAACCAAATATTCTTTATTCGGAGTAAGTCTATTTTTGTGATATTCGGATATTTGTTCAGGAGGTTTTTTCCGCAAATATCACATTCTATCATGATTTTGACACATAAAATCTGTATGTCAGTGCATTTTGTGGCATTAGATATTGTAATGAATTTAATTTATTAAGTTTTCTGATAAATATGTAATTACTCGAAAAGTATACTTTTGAGGATGTTATGTGATATGTCCAACTTACATGTATATATTGTACATTTGATATATTGTAGTTACGGTAGTTCATGTCAATTTGTACTTAAGATACTGCCATCTTTGTGCAATAATAGATTAACTCCTATTAGATTATAGTAGAAGATAACCCTTTACTGCACTGACATTATATGTTATTGATTGTGACACAGTATAGACAAAAGCTATGAAATCTAGAAGGCAGTAAGCTTGAATGTCTAACTCAGAAGGATATGAACTTTTTTTTACCTTGTCTGTTATGAAGAAAAAGTTGTGCTATAATGATCACTGCATCATCATTGTCATTCAAAAACTTGTATGTAGCCCATTATTCAAACTTTTTAAAAGAAAACAACATGAAATTTGAAATACTTTATTTTTATGACAAGATGCAGTTGTTAGACAAGGGGGGTAATTCTAAAAGCTACATTTTTGGAGTTATAGCCCTTTATAACTTAGAATTTTTGTCATAATTGGTTATACATAACAGACTTGCATAAACATCGCATGTTGTGCACTTGTTTATGTAATGTATTTCTATAGGAAATTTTAGTATTTTTATATCCCAAATAGAGCAGTCATCAATAGAGACAATATCGATGTCTCATTGATATTTTTCTGTTGATCAATAATCGATACACATTTAAAAAAATCGATAATTTTGACTAATTAATTAAATGTCTAGAAATTATGAAAATTCATGCAAAACATACTGAAGCAGTGTCACGACAAAACCAACATAATAGGTTTGCGACCAGCATGGATCCAGACCAGCCTGCGCATCTGCGCAGTCTGATCAGGATCCATGCTGTTCGCTATCAGTTTCTCTACTTGTTATAGGGTTTGTAAACGAACAGCATGGATCCTGACCAGACTGCGCGGATGCGCAGGCTGGTCTGGATCCATACTGGTCGCAAACGCATTATGTTGGTATTGTCATGACACGGCTCATATATACAGAAGCAGTTATCTATGTCTATTTCTAGCATTATGCTGTTGTTATATAGTGGAAATATTTCACAGCAATGATGTCAGATGATGGAAAAATATGGTCTGGAAAAAATCATGAAATGGGCTTTAATGTACAAGACACTGAACAGAACGTTTTTAACTGAAATCATTTTAACAGGTATGAATGTAAATGACAGACAAGTTATTATAGGTAATTATCCATATATCAGTGATATTTGTCATCAGATATCGATATATTGTTGATATGCTTTGCACTGAATCAATGACAGCTCTAATCTTTGCTTTTGTATTAGTTGTATTAGTTGGATCTTCATTAAGGGTATCTTTTGCCATCATATGATGTTTTGCCAAGTCTTTTTATAACAAAGTTATTGTTCTTTTTAACTCTTTCACTGCCATAGGGACGGCTTATGCTGTCCCTGTTATTTTCAGCGTATTTGCCATATGGACGGCTTTTGCCGTTTCTATAATAATAATAAAAAAATAATAATAAATATGAAGAAAATTATACAATCGACAATAATTATTATTATACTAATAACAAATGATAATTATATTAATTAATAATATAGTACTTTCTTAGAAAACCCTCTCTCAAATAGTTGATCTATAAAACAATAACCCTCTGGCAGCGAAAGGGTTAATGTTCAATTTTACAATACTGTCTTCTCTTGATCCTGATATAAGCTGAACTTTTCTAGGACTAGGAAGAGCTTTTGTACTCGTATTGGCATCAGACTTAAGTTAAAGTTTTTGTGTGCAAGTTGGTTTGTCCAAAACTACTGAAGGGAATGGGTTGAAACTTCTTACACTTACTTTAGAGCACAATAGAAGGTCACTTTTTAAGGCCCATAACTCTTAAAATGTGGGTTTTGACAGAAATATGGCCCTTTTTGACCTTAAAAAAGAAAATCTGCATTATCCTGGCTCTTGTTTTACTATCGAGCACTGAGAATAGTCGAGCATGCTGTCCTTATTACAGCTTTTGTAAACATGACTGAACTTTATTCTTTTCATTTTCATCATAGTAACATCAGTGTAAACATTTTTATTGTCCCCCGCCTTTTCGAAGAAAAAAGGGGATATAGAAATAGGCTCCGTCCGTCTTTCCATCCGTCACACTTTCGTGTCCTGTCCATAACTTTGTCATTTATTAAAGGAATCTATAATAAGACGGTGTGTCATGCGCAACAACAAGACCCTACCTCCAGGGTCAAGGTCGCACTTGCTCAATCAAGGTCAACATTGTCTCTTTGAGGGTATATGTCGTGTCCGGTCTATAAGTTTCTTATTTTGTAAATACTTGCCACAATTGTTCACAATAATGGGATGATGTGTCATGTGCAACAATTGGTCACCTACCTACAAGGTCAAGGTCACACTTGGAGGTCAAAGATAAACATAGTCTGTTATAGGGTATATTTTGTTCCTGGTCCATAACTTTTTCATATATCAAAGGATTTTGAAAATACTTGGCACAAATAGTCACTATACTAAGACGATGTGTCATGCTTAACACCTGCATCCCTACCTTCAAGGTCAAGGTCACATTTCGAGAAAAAAAAATTAACATAGTCTGTTAAAGGGTATATATTGTGTCTGATCTAGAACGTCTTCATAATTTAAGGGATTTTGAAATAACTTGGCACAAATAGTCACAATAATAAGATGATATGTCAAGTACAACACTTGCACCCCTACCTCCAAGGTCAAAAATTAACAGAGTCTGTTATTTGGTATATTTTGTGTCCTGTCCATAACTTCTTCATAGATCAAGGGATTTTGAAAATACTTGGCACAAATAGTCACAATGATAAGATGATATGTCATGTGTAATTTCAGTGTCCCTACCTCCAAGGTCAAGGTCACATGTAGAGGTCAAAGATTAACATAGTTTGTTACAGGGTATATTTCTTGTCCCATCTACAACTTAATAGTTCAATGGATTTTGAAAATAATTGGTACAAATAGTTACAATAATAAGACGATATGTCATGCACAACACCTGGACCCCTACCTCCAAGGTCAAGGTCACACTAAGAGGTCAAAGCTTAACATTCATTTTATTTCTTTAATGAATTTATTGTAGCATTTGCAGATCTAGCATTGATCATAATTTTGGACTGAAAGTTCTTTGATCCATACATCAATCTTTTAAAATAGCACAATTTTATGCTTCATATAAAACTTCAACGAGGCGGGGGACGTTGGTATCTCTGTTACAAATTCTTGTTACAATGGTAGTGTCTGGGGCTGTAAGTTTTTAAACTTTACAGGAGTTTGAAAATTACACTGGTTCGCTTTTATTAAAAAGTACTATCTGCAGCAGGATGTGAAATTAAATGACAATCGTATTTGATTAATGCCCTGGATTTATACAGTGCGCCTTTAATGCTATGTAATAGTCAGCTTGCTTCCTGGTTGTCCGTTGTTAATGTGAATATATTTAATATGTTCTTGAAATGATGTTTAACTTGCATGCATCTAGTTAATTTATTAGAATATTCATTATTTATTGAAAAATGATATTTACAAATGAATTAAAGCTGTACAGTTCAATTTTTGAAAATTAACACTTAAAATGTAATTTATTTGTTTCCAGGACTGTGTTTTTTATTTGTGCTAATGAATTTCAAAGAAATTATGCAAACATTTTGTTGCTGATACATTGTTTTGTTGCCATTTATACAATATATAGATCTGTAAATAAACCTTTACCTGAACCTGTATTATTCTTGTTTCCTGTATCAAAAATATTGTTTACTGTATAAATGTGTCACAGAAATCATGCTTTCATTGTATTAGTGTTGGTCAAGTTAATATAGGGGATATTTGTTTGTTTTGCATGTAAGATCGAAATATATTTCACGGAGTGAGCAGCTGATCTTCACGAGTGAAATATATTTCGATCTTGCATGCAAAACAAATTTTCTATTTATTTCATGCCTTTGTAGTGATTTGAAGTCATTTGTACTTGTTTTGCAGCATTTTGTCATGCATTCTTCTTGATGTCCTCACGTGATGTCACGGCACCAATGTTGAAATTTAGTTCGTTAAAATTTCTCTAATTTTGTTACATTTAAACACAATGTATACAGTTGTTTACTCGTTTCTCCTAAAGAAGCAAAATATACATGTGATGAAATTTATTTCTGTTGATAATTCTTTTTAGTTCTGAAAATATATATTTTCATTCGCATTTAAATAGTCTGGCTACAGTGGAAAATATCAATTTGAAATATAATTCCCCGTTCCACTGAAAAGCATGTAATAAATATAGTATAGCTTTACCAAATTGTTTCTAACATCATAAACTGCTGGAACTGAGAGTGGTTGGCCTCTGCCATCAGTAAAGAACCAGGCCAGCCTGCACATCCGTGCAGTCTCTACTCTGTCGGCTGTCTTTAACTTCAAATCTTCATCTTGACATCCTTAAACTTGATAATGGACTGTTCCCAAAATAAAACTTGTACTTGTCCATTTAAATAATTCTGGGAGTTGAGACATTGCAAACAGCAAAAATTGTCTTGATCTAGTGGAATCACTACTGTAATTACTTTGTCACTTTGGTGACATAGTAAAAAAGTAGTATTTCCAATTTTTTAGGAAAATTCCTAATATTTGCAGACAAACTATAGGAGTTCTTGATATTTTTTAAACCATTATGTTGGGAAATTTTATTTTCATGTTTTCTAAAGTATGCCGACATATTTCCTTGATATAATTGTGCTGTTAAAGTTGCATGCCCCCAGATGAGCCAAAATATTTCAAGAAAATCAATATTGACAAAAATGTACTAAAATATTAAGAAAGGAAAAAACATTCAAGGTAAAAGTAATATTTTACATGTAATGTGTAGTTTAAGACTGATTTTGCAGTATTTTATTACCATATTTCTACTGGGTTACTAACTCAGTAAAGGCTGTTTTTACATATGTTGACCACTTTTTGGTAATTTTCGTGGATTGCAAGTGTCGGTTGCAAAATGTTAATTACATTTAATGATTCACCTCACAATATTTTACTTTTAAATACATTTCCAAAATTTTCATGAAAATTAACATCAATCTGGAGGTGTGCTGCTTTAAGTTTGATTTATATATCAACACGGTTCAATGGATAGGATAATGTTCAAACATGTTGAGAAAAACATCTGGATTGACAAATCTCAGGTCTGGCTGAGGATTTAGACTAGTGAGACGCACATTCAACATTTGTTTAAATTACCTGGCATTTTCAGTTTAGATTGTTCTATAACAAATTATCCATTTTGGTTTGTGGTTCTACTCCAGTTCGAACTTCCGCCAGGAGTAATGAATGGAGGGGCTCCAGAGGTTTTCATCCACCAAATAAAGCTAGAAATGCATCATGTGACCTCAAAGAAAAAATGTTTCTTATTTTGTCCTTTCGTCATTTGTCATTTATTATCAATTTTCCTTCCTGAGCAACTTTGATACTAATAAGCTAGAATGTAATTGCTTACATACTGAAAATATGTAGAAACTTTGTTTGACATGGTGGTCACACAGTCTAATTGTTCCACAAAATAAACCAAATTATCACATTTGGTAACTAGTTTCCAACTTTTTCAACTAGAATTATCAACAATGATACTCCATTGAAGAAAAAAATTGTTCATCCATGACCTGTGGTCATGTGGTTATATAAACAAACCTCCTCAAAGCACTTGAACCTCTTTGTAATGGTTTTAAAAATGTAAAAGGCACTTACATGGGAGGAAGTTTTTGGGCTAGCTCACAGGACGTTGTGTGCCAACAGGGTCTTTCAAATAGAATCAATTTAACAAAATATTATCTAATAATTTGATTTTAGAATGGTGATGTACTATACCAGATCATGGTCGGTAGATTAGGTTCTAATCACGTGACACAGCAGAGAAATCTTTTTCGTAAAATTGGTCGGACTCTAAACCATTCTATTTGAATGACCCTGGTGCAAGGTTACGTTTGAAATATTGCACAAACAGCAATATGAAGTCTTCCTGCACCAATAAAGCTGGAATGTCACCATACGACCTTCACATTTTTAATATCACTTAAAATATAGGACAAAAGACCGTGCGTTTGCGAAGGATGCGCAGGCTGGTCTGGCTGGATCAATGCTGGTCGCAAAAGCACTATGTTGGTTTTGTCATGGTGTGGTTTTTTTTCTGTCTTCAACCTTGAGTCAATACGGGCCTTGCAAGCTTTTGGAAGATGGCCATTTCCAGCATTGTTTGAGTAGGGCCAACTTGAGACTTCATTCACTGTATTGTTAACAGAACAGACCTTACATGCCCGATATTGCAAGATTTGATACTTTTGAATTTTCTTGGGACTGTAAGCTGTTGACATGAACAGCAGTGTTGATAATGGACAGGGCTTGTGGAAATTCATGGACACAAAATATTTTGAATCTCTGATGCTATGTTTAACACATTTCAAACCTGGTTTTTTTTCCTTTTAAGGGAGAAGTTGTTAGTAGAAAAATGAAAACAAATTGTGGAGAAACAAAGTTTAATTTTTGTAACTAACACATTACAATATTGTAAACATCAAATGTTTGTGAAACTTCTTGAAATATTTTTCTCACCTCAAAGAATATAGCACCATGAATTTGACATTAAAAAAAAAACATAAAATAATCGAAAGACGTTTATCATTGCAAAACTGAAGGTTTCAGGGATCAGTTATTAAATTTTCATTCAAATTTTATTTGATTTTCGAAAAAATTAATAACTGATCCCTGAAACCTACAGATAAATGCTTGAAAGTTGAGCAACAATGTTGCAATTACATCTCCTCTAAGTCAACGCCTAAGCACAAATTTCGATTTCATCAATTTAGCGAAAGCTTGAAGCGAGAGAGTTTGAAACTGAAACATGCTGCCTTAGAACTAATAAAACGTAATTCTGCTCAAACCTTTATTTTATTGGCAGCAATTTTTCCAAAATATTTTTACTTGCTTTTTCAAGTATTAAAATTCAATCTTTTTTAATGTGATTTGTATTCTTTTAGTCACATAGGAATCTTTTCATTTAGATAAAAGTCGAAAAACGTAGAACTGAACTTACTGCGTTCCACTTAAAAACAAAATAATTTGAAAATAATTAAAATTTTCATGAAAACCCATCTGACACAGAATTACTATTTACTAGCATAGGAGATCTAGAATTTAATTTTTGTATTATTTTTTTTGCAAGATTTCAAAAAAGGAAATTGTTCAAAAAAGCTCCATGTTTAAAGTCCAATGAAGACTGGTTAGGCTTTTAAGCAAAGAATTCATTAGTGCGTTTGCATAAAAAAATGTACATTTGTCAATATTATGCTTCATATTTATATAACTCGTGTTCATTTACATGAAATTTCAAAAACTTAATGAAATAAATTTACATCTTTTTTTCTTCTAAAGTATAAGCTTCTTAAAGAGCATACTTAGAAACTATAATGAATTATTATGTCAGACATCCGTTCATTTTCACCAATTAAAACTTAAATCAATTAATTAACAGGATTTACAATAAAAAATGTCTATATATATATATATATATTATATATATTCTAGAATTAAGCAGTCTATGTAAAGTGCTGTTGAAATCATATACTTGTATTTCATCATCTGACCTACAGGGGGGGCTTAAAGTGCAGTTGGGTGGATCCAGAAAGGAGGTTCATCACCACTAAATGTTACATTCATTTTTCATTGAAAAAAAACACCATATTTCTCTTCGCAATAAATACTTTCAACAGATTAAAAAAAATTGCTTCTTCCTGGAAGATATTTACCTTTCATATGATATACAGTCAAACCTATGAAAGAGAAAGACCAGACAGGACCTTTAAAGACAGATGGTCTTTATTTGGAGGTTACATCTTTAATTTTTATCAATGAATGTTTGTCAAAGAGTGGCCTTCATATACAGGGTGATCTTCATTCAAAGGTGGCCTTTAAACACAGGCTTGACTGTATATGTATAATTTTTTTTTTTCCTTTTGGATCTAAGGTTTCAATTTTGCGGTGTAACAAATTTTTGACTGGGAATGTCTGGATCCAAACCCCTAGTTGTGCAGCATGGGTTTTTACCTCTGAGCCAAGCTAAGCCATATAGAAGCTGAACTGAGTTGCAAACAAATTAAAGCTTTAAAGGCAGTTGTTACTATCTTTATCCTAACCCCCCTGTATTTGTTTTTATTAAAAATTCAGTTTTTCATCGTCAATTTTAATTGCCAAATAACGAACTTATGTATATAATTTTACACATTTTTAAGAAGAATTTTCAAGAGCTTTTGTTTAAAATGTGTACATTTAGAAACAACACCTAGAGCTAAAAAACTACATCTACATAAAAATATTATTTACAAAAAGTAACATCACCGGAAAAATTTTATATCATAAAAATTTGTTATTATAATATTATCATTCAACATCCCATAAAAATTTCTTATTTAATTTAGTAAGTTAAAACAGTCATAATATTTATTTAAACTCGATCGTGAGAGAAAAAGCTTGAAGCTTAAATGAACCACTTTCGAGTTTAAAATTTACCGGAACTAACCAGTACTGGTGCGGCGATTAATTTTAAGCCTGCCGGCGCCAATTAATATAACCCACATGACCAGTGTAGACCAAGAACAACTGGCACATCTGTGCGGTCTGATCAAGGCCTGCACTATCCACTTTTCAGTCTGTACTTACTTTGAAAAATTCCTAAACTAATGAAAGGTTTTATCCAAAATGAAACTAGTCTATTTAAGATATTCAGCGTGGTATAAGGCATAAATAACACAATTGCGTCAAGTTAGGGACTTGAACCCACAAATCCCAAGGCTACAAGTCATACATTTTAATCCGTTTTTAAAATATACATACATCAAAATTAATCGGATAATTTGCCCTTTTTTTAACCTATTACTTATTCATTATATCTTATTTGTTATATTTTTGATCTTTATAATCATGGTAAAACTTCTTATTCAGAACATAACTGCCTTAACGCCTTAAAATATTCAATCAATCACAGATATATTTTATCTTTAAAGTTAAATTTTTATTGTGATATATAGAGGAATATTTTTTTATTGATGAAATGTGAATGTCCATTGTATTTGAACAATCATTAACATTAAAATTTTATGCAGATGCA